CCACCGCGACCTGTGACGTCGACGGACTTGGTGCGGCCGTCGTCGCCCTCGCTGATGCTGAAATTGATGAACTCGCTGATACTGGAGGTCCTATCGGGTCTAGGGTTCTGTAGCCCTCGGATTTGATAGAGGACTGGTGGACGGACTCGCCCTCGCTCTCTTTGAATCGCTGATGTGAAGCCATCGGACTTGGATCGCTCTCTCTGGATCACTGAATCGCTCTCTTTGGATCATTTTTAGGTGTGTTGAAAGAGAGTGGGAGAGAACGAGGAGAAACTGAAGGGAATTAGTGCTTTCCTTCAGTTTTGTTCGTTTAATGAAGGAAATTAGTGAAGCCCTCGCTCTATTTTTTATTGGGTTTTTTTGTTGCTGAAAAAGGAGTTGAATGAGATCCTGTGACAAGTCAGGAATTGAAAACGAGGGGTTTCTTTTTTTTTAAGGGCAGTCAACTTTGAAGATGGGAACACCTGTGACAAGTCAAGAATTGAAGGAGTTCCTGGAGGGGGTGGCCAGGGTATTTCAGACCAAACTAGAGGAGAATCCTAGTAGGTCAGTTGTGACCGCACCAGAGTCGGCGCTGGTAATACAGAGGGTAAAGTTGCTGCCTAATGACATCAAGCTTGAGGGGATAAGAAACTATCTGAGTTGGTCTCGGAGGGCATTGTTGAACCTTCGAATCAAATGAATTAAAAAGTATGTAAAGGAGGAGTGCACTGAGCCGGAGAATAAGGCGAGTGTTGAGTGGAACACATGGAGTAACACCAATTCTCTGGTGGTTTCTTGGTTGTTGACTTCTGTGTCTCCAACCATAACTAAGATGGTGGAGTCTATCTCAAGTACAGCTGATGTCTGAAAGACATTGGAGGGGATGTACTCTGGAGCTGGGAGTGTGATGATGATGATGGAAGTAGAGAAGAACATTGATGTTACCACACAATGGGAGAAGACAGTCCACCAGTATGCAGCAGAGCTACGTCACCTATGGGCGGATTTGGATCACTATGATCTGTTATCACTACAAAACCCAGCAGATGTTCTTTTAGGGAGGCAGTATCTTGAGCGCAGGCGTGTGGCTCGCTTTCTCAAGGGTCTGAACCTAAAGTTTGAGGGAAGGAGGGTAGTAATGTGCCACCTGTCATATCTCCCCTCCTTGGATGAGGCTATTGCATCGATGGAACAAGAGGAGATCAGACAGAAGGTGATGACAGGCGAGGCCTCACCTGCTGTCCGCTCGGTATTGGTGGTTTCAGATGCTCACATCAGAGATGATAGAGAGTGCTACAATTGTGGAAAGAAAGGGCATCTCAGCTACAATTACCCTCAACCTCGCAATATTGGTGGCAGCCGAGGGGGCAGAGGACAGAGAGGTGGTTATGCAGGTCGATGAGGCAGGGGACGTGGAGGCCGAGGAGTTGCTCACCTAGCTGTGGCAGAGGAGTCCCAGACTACTGCTGGGATGACTGGAACTGAAATAACAGAGCTGGAGGAACTACGTATGTTCAAGCTTCGGGCTGAAAGTTCGAAGGGCAAGGGACAAGTCACTCAGGATCTGGATAACACTACATGTTTTGGTAACTTTGTTGGTGCTCATGCGAACAAAGGTACACAGGTTCAGGCACTTGCATCCACTAAAACTCATGTTGATTGGATCATAGACTCAGGTGCATCTAGATATGTCACAGGAACATCTAGTGAGTTTGTATTATATTTTCCGAGTAAGCATATGCATCCTGAGACAGTTCAGACTGCTGATGGGACATCCCAACCCATCAGGGGTACTGGCTCGGTCCATTGCACTTCATCTGTTACCTTATCATCTGTACTGCATGTTCCTTCGTTTCCAGTTAACTTACTCTCTGTTAGCTCTATCATTGATCAATTAAATTGCACTGTGTTATTTAATCAGGATATGTGTGTCTTCCAGGAGAAGGAAACGAGGAGGAGGATTGGGACTGACATCAGGCATGATGGCCTCTGGTACTTGGACAGAGAGACTGCAATGATTGCTGCTGCTGTTAGCGGAGGGCCAGAGGCAGAAGCAATGCTTCAACATTGCCGATTAGGGCATTTATCTTTTGATAGTTTGAATAGGTTAGAACCTGAGATAACGAAAAAAGTGGATAGAAAAAAGTTATTTTGTAATGCTTGTGAACTTGAAAAACATACTCGTTCTACTTATAGAATGATTGGTCTTCGAAGTTTTGAACCATTTGCACTTATCCATTCTGATGTTTGGGGATCATGTCCTACTACCTCTATTAGTGGTTTTAGATGGTTTGTTACTTTCATTGATTGTTATTCACGTATGGCATGTCCTACTACCTCTATTAGTGGTTTTAGATGGTTTGTTACTTTCATTGATTGTTATTCACGTATGGTTTGGATATACATGATGAATTAGTGGTTTTAGATGGTTTGTTACTTTCATTGATTGTTATTCACGTATGGTTTGGATATACATGATGAAGCAGAAATCTGAGGTTTACAAATGTTTTTAAGATTTCTCGGCTTATGTGAAAACACGGTTTGGAGTACAAGTAAAGATTCTTCGAACAGATAATGGGACTGAGTATGTCAACAAGGAGTTTGCGGCTTTCATCTCTAGTCAGGGAATTCTTCATCAAACCACATGTCCAGACATCCCTGCTCAAAATGGGGTGGCTGAACGCAAGAACAGACATCTACTGGAAGTGGCACACTCATTGATGTTGACAATGAATGTGCCTAAGTTTTTATGGAGTGAGACTGTTATGACAGCAACTTATTTGATCAACAGGATGCCATCAAGGGTATTAGGGATGAAGACACCATGTGAGATGCTCTTGGGCTAGAATGTTTTTGTTGTTCCACCAAGAGTGTTTGGATGCACATGCTATGTGAGAGATCACAGATTGATGGTGAGTAAATTGGATCCGTAAGCAGTTAAATGTATCTTTGTTGGCTACTCATCAAGTCAAAAAGGATACAAGTGTTGATGTCCCACTGAAAAAAGGTTATTTGTCAGTATGGATGTGATTTTTCAGGAGTTTGAACCTTTTTATAGGGAGAAGACGGAGTTGAGTTCCTTGTTAGGAGATGGCTCTATTGATGCTAGTAGATAAGGGGAGAATGAGAATGACATCGTGTTTGGGATGATTCTATGTCCTCTTGAGTCACCGAATAGTGATGGTACATCGCCGAGTAGTGATGGTGACTCAGGAGTTGGCAGTCAAGGTCAGGGGGAGCTGAGAGTATACATGAGGAGACAAAAACAGCAGCATAAGCCGTCTCCAGTGCTTATGCCAATACCCACAAATGTTGATGTCCTAAGTCCCTCCTCTCCAGTAACTTCCTCATCTTCTCCACCTGAGTCGATAGGTAACGAGTTCTTCCCTGATACTTCCAATACTCCTATCTTGCCCCGCAGAACCTCCAGAGTCAATGCTGGAAAACCTACAACTAAGTTTGGTAGTTGGGATACTGACATTGCAAATTACATTTCATATGCATCCATTCCACCTGCATATAAGTCATTCATTGCATCATTACATTCAGTGTCTGTACCTAACAACTGACACGTAGCTAAGCAAGATCCTAGGTGGTTGAATGCCATGCAAGAGAAACTTCAAGCCTTGAAGAAGAATGATACATGGGAGCTGGTACCTTTGCCAGCTGGGAAGCGTGCTGTTGGATGTAAGTGGGTGTATACGGTTAAGCAAACTCCAGAGGACAAGATCGACAAATACAATGCCAGATTGGTTGCTAAAGGCTACAGCCAAACGTATGGCATTGACTATGACGAGATATTTGCTCCAGTAGCAAAGATGAGCACTGTTAGAGTGTTGGTGTCATGTGCCGCCAACTTCAATTGTCCACTACATCAGCTAGATGTGAAGAATGTCTTTTTGCATGGAGATCTCTAGGAGGAGGTGTATATAAAGATTCCACCAGACTTCGCTACTTCTCAAGTAGTTGTGAAGGTGTGCAAGTTGAAGAAGTCTTTGTATGGGTTAAAACAGTCTCCGAGGGCATGGTTTGACAGATTCAGATTGACAGTCTGTGGTATAGGGTACAAACAGTGCAATGGGGATCATATTGTGTTTTACAGGCACTCCAAAACTCGTATCACTATCTTGGTGATCTATGTTGATGATATTGTAATCACTGGAGATGATGCTGAGGAAATCCTACGGTTGAAGAAGAAATTAGGAGAGGAATTTGAAGTTAAAAATCTGGGACAGCTGAAATACTTCCTCGGAATTGAAATTGCAAGGTCGCGAAAGGGTATAGTGCTTTCTCAGTGAAAGTATGCTCTGGATCTTCTCTCAGAGACAGGGATGTTGGGGTGCAGAGTTGCATCTACTCCTATCGAGCAGAATCATAAGATGTGTGCCAAGGATGGTGACCCAGTGAGTAAAGAGAAATATCAAAGATTAGTTAGATGACTTATATATCTATGTCATACGAGACCTGATATTACTCATGCAGTGAGTGTGGTGAGTAGATATATGCATGATCCCAGAGAGCAGCATATGGAGGCAGTTCGCAGAATTCGTAGATATATTAAGGGAAGCCCAGGAAAGGGGTTATGGTTCAGGAGTTATGGACATCTGAGAATTAAAGGCTATTGTGATGCTGATTGGGCGGGTTGTATGGATGATCGTAGGTCCACTACAGGCTACTGTGTATTTGTTGGAGGTAATCTCGTATCTTAACGTAGCAAGAAGCAATATGTGGTGGCTAGGTCTACAGCTGAGACCGAGTACAGGGCTATGACAGTTAGTCTGTGCGAGTTGATGTGGGTCAAAAACATATTATCTGAGCTGCGCTTGTTTAGAAGAGACTCCTTACAACTTTAGTGTGACAACAAATCGACGATTAATATTGGAAACAATCCAGTGCAGTATGATCGCACCAAACATGTGGAGATTGATCAGTTCTTTATCAAGGAGCAACTGAATAGAGGAGTTCTGACTTTGAGCTATGTGAAATCAAAAAAGCAGTTAGCTGATTGTTTAACAAAAGGATTAGGTTCTAGAGTATGATATATTTTGTAACAAGATAGGGATGATTGATATCTATCGCTCATCTTGAGGAGGAGTGTTGAGTTATTTAGATAGATTGAGTTAATTAGTTAATGTTGTAAGGACCTATTTGTAAGAGTGCATTAATATAAAAGGGGTACCTCTCTATGAGAGAAAAGAACCCTAATTTTCACCCCAAAATTCTATGCTATTTTGGCAAATGTTATTTTGGCAAGAGAAGAATCTATCAGTTTCTTTTAAGTTGACTCCATATGTTTGTGAATACTCCTCGGTAACCAACCGAACCTTCAGATATGATAGAGAGACACATGGATTTAGCTTCAACATGTGTACTCAGTAGCATCTAATGACACTTCCTATTGATATGAAATCTCATGCCTCGTAATGCTCTGATGTTGTCATCGCCCACTAGATAGCCTCTTACCACCTCACATTTGATTAAGATTTTGGCAGAGACTTACAGACATAGTAAAGAATGACTTTTTCGTATGTCTGAGTTATTGGTACTTAGATCAATGGGCAGATTTTTGCTCCAATCTAACATAGAGACAATTGGATCTAGCATTTTACCAAATTGACTCATGGATTGGTTCCTCTAGCGTTTTTCTCTATAAAGTTCAATGTGACAAATAAATGACTATTTAGTGTAGGCCGGACATTGTCTTAACCTGCCCCAAACACCAGATCAGTATTGGAAGATGTATTGTAAGGGCCAATACTAATATAGGTTGTGAATTGAGTTGTCATATAAAGTCTTCATTTAAGAATCTACCTTAACAGTGCTTTATTCATCTTTCACTTTTCCCTCACTTTTAAGCGAACATACAGTAATCAATCTTTGCCAAGAGTGATCAAAACATGATCAGGGATTACAATGTCAATTGGTTTCTTCTAAAAGTTAAAAAACGGAACAGGTCAGAATAGTTGCTGAAAAGAAACATTAAATATCGATAAGTGTTCATTGAAGGAAGTATCACTATTATTTAAGAGATCAAACCTTTTGCCTGACGAGTACTAATCAAAACAACTTCTACAATTTTAAACCAGAGTGACTGTATTGGTTCTAACCTTAAAAAGGATACTCCCATCAGAATCAATATGGCAATGGTAGATGTACGTCTTTTGGCAATCCCAATTGAGATTCTGCAACAGGAAATTTTAGGGGGGAAAAGTAATAAACTGTTACAGACAGATTGTTCATATATCAAATAAAATATAATTAAAATAACAAGTTTTTCCTAGTTCTTTTGAGATGTATCACAAGAAGCAACATGCAAAATGAATGGTCTTGAGTAATAAATTAGTCAGTTTAGCGTATAGAATGTCTAAAACCAAACAAAGAAAGGTTTAGAAAAATACTTAAATGTTTACATTAAATTGCTCTACTTTAAAGTATAGATTTGAGCAACTCAAATTACGTAATGCACATATCCACGAGAGCGCGCACACATATCCATAGTTTTCATTTCCTTCTCAACATGTTTAAAGTATAGATCTGAGCAACTCAAATTATGTAATGCACATATCCACGCACGCACGCACGCGTGCGCACATATCCATAGTTTTCATTTCCTTCTCAACATGTTTAAAGTATAGATCTGAGCAACTCAAATTATGTAATGCACATATCCACACACGCGTACACACACATATCCATAGTTTTCATTTCCTTCTCAACATCATTTTGCCATCACTGTCGTGTTCTCAAAGGACATTTCGCATCAAGATGAGAATGAGCTATCAACTGCAATTCAAATGAGACGGCACAAAAGATTTCACTAAATGGTTGGCGCCAATCAGCAAACTAAAAGCATGTTAACATAACATTTTAAATTTCCTAGAATCCTAACCGAGGATCAGTCTTACTACAGATCAAGCATCAATTTAATAGTTAGGAATTAATTTCAATCCGACCAATCTACTCCTGCAACTTATGAAGAAAGCACAGTACAAAAAAGGATATAATATGCCAGCCGTATATCAAGTGCATATTCAAGCTACTGGTGCATAAAATGTTATACTTTAAAGTATATCATCAAACTGTTATACTTTATACTTAAATGTTCACATTAAATTGTTATACTTTGAAGTATAGATCTGACCAAGTCAAATTATGTAATGCACATATCCACGCACGCGCGCGCGCACATATCCATAGTTTTCATTCCTTCTCAACATATTTAAAGTATAGATCGCACGCGTGCGCACATATCCATAGTTTTCATTTCCTTCTCAACATGTTTAAAGTATAGATCTGAGCAACTCAAATTATGTAATGCACATATCCATAGTTTTCATTTCCTTCTCAACATGTTTAAAGTATAGATCTGAGCAACTCAAATTATGTAATGCACATATCCACACACGCGTACACACACATATCCATAGTTTTCATTTCCTTCTCAACATCATTTTTCCACCACTGTCGTATTCTCAAAGGACATTCGCATCAAGATGAGAATGAGCTACCAAGTGCAACTCAAATGAGACGGCACAAAAGATTTCACTAAATGGCTGGTGCCAATCAGCAAACTAAAAGCATGTTAACATAACATTTTAAATGCCAAGAATCCTGACGAAGGATCAGTCTTAGCTACAGGTCAAGAATCAATTTAATAGTTGGGAATTAATTTCAATGCGACCAATCTACTCATGCAACTTATGAAGAAAGCACATTACAAAGAAGGATATAATATGGAAACAGTATACTGAGTGCATATTTGAGCAACTGGTGTGTATAATGGCAGTGGTAAGCACTGAAATAGTTATAAGAGAACTTCTAACCATAGAGCCAAAAATCAATCAGTGCATATTCTCTGTTCACACTTATCCTGAATGTAATTATGTTGGTGTCCAGAATATCATGGAGTAGCTAATAAATGAAGGACTAGTTGCTAGTCAAGATAAAGTGCTAAATGATCCGGAGATAACAAAATCGAGTGTTGTAGTTAAAAATACAAAGAGAAGTTTGTGCAGCTATGCTTAAGCATTCGGGACAAAGTGAAACCTTCAAGTAGAATGCATCATTACTAAATGAGAGAACAAGTAATATATAAAAGCCATTTCTATAAGAACTAAAGAGGGAGATAAGAGCCCTCAACCTGGGCATGTTAAGAGTATAAATTGTTTTGGTTAGCGGCAAGATCTTTTGACAGTTCAAATTGTTAATTTTTGCAACCACTTGATGCATGAGCAATTTATTCTCAAAATACATAGTAGACCTTTTAAGTTTTAACACGTTTAGATCATGGTGAGCAGAACTGATCGTCCAATTTCATTGCATAAGATGCATTTTTATACAAAACTAAGCTAGTTATGCCCCAAGAGTATTAAAGCAATTCCATACATATGGGTATCATGTCATATGAAAGATAATGTGGTTGAATCTCAATCAAGTGTGGTTACGAGGGATTCTCTCTCCCTTTATCCACTTGGTTGAAATTTAGCCACTCACTTTACATAAGAGAATCTTTTTATAATTTTAAATTTTTAAAAAAAATCCTCTCATATGACAAGGATACCCAGGATTCTATATAGTCCTATGTGTGTGTAACTATGTATGTCTGTATGTACCACTGTAGGTATGTATATGTATATATTATGATTTTTACCTTTCTTCTATCTGAAGCTGGGATGCAGCCTTTATTTTTGACAATTTCCCAGAGTTGTTGCTCAAAATTAGCCATGGACAGCGACTTAAGCTTCATAATCAGATCTACGGAGACTATGTCATTCACCTTCTTTCTGAAAAAGCAAGAAAGTTTTTCAGCAACATCAAGCGCATCTACCGAGAGATAAGCGTCTTGCATGGGAAAACAACAAAACAACATTGATCACAATTCACATCCAAATAAACTGCAAGGAAATAGTACCTAAATCAGTGACTCTTTCAATTAATAATCAATAAAAACATATTAAAGAAGCACCAAGGCCATTTATTTGGAGATAACAATGCCAGTAGGTATAAGCAAGAACACAACATTGGACACGGTTTCAAAACATTACATGAACCTAGCACATCTTTCCCTTTCTGTGTAATGTTCACAGCTTTTGCATGCTAGCAATAGCATAGCAACTAAATGTAACAACTACTATCAATTTGTGATTGCGTGATTTGCATTTTAAGCTTGTTCAGAAGATTTACAACACCACCATAACATGCCAGTGTTTTTACACGCGTGTGGAGAAAGATCAGGAGCTAATAGGATTTGGCAAATAATCGCAAGCTGTATCAATCAAATCATGAAAAGAATGAAGCTTTTTCCATACTTCATTATTTACGTAACTGCAGGCATTATTTCTTCTATAGTATGTGACAGATGACAATTAAATCTCACAAGGTTGGATCAAGCTAAGGTCAAAACCGAGACAACTAGAAAATTATCAAATACTGTTACCTTAACTTACCTCCCGGCATAGCTCAAAATCAAGAAAGCTTTCCTAAACTCGAGCTCTCCTAATGCTTGCATGACTCCGTCATGCAGTTGTTCTGGATGCTTAGTAATGAGCATGGGATTGGGTGGGCCCCCCAGAGGCAGGGTAATGGGAGGAACATGAATCGCTGTAGGCACGGGATTGGGTGGGTCCCTTGGAGGCGGGGTACTGGGAGGAACACTAATGGAGATAGGCACGGGATTGGGTGGAACCCTTGGAGGAACATGAATGGCTGTATGCCTCGGAGAGGCAATGTTCGGCGACAATTCACCACTGGTTGAAGCTGCAAATGAAAACACCAAAGCATCAAAGCACATGAATGGCCATCTGGATCTAAAAGCAAGCAGTAGGTGTCAAAATGTAGAGCAGAAAAAAGATCAGAACAGAAATTGTGAAAATTCTACCCCAATTGTGATCATGTGTTCAGACCACAATTATATAAACTTCTATATTGATGCTCAACACTATGTAATATTGATGGAAATCTGGCCTATTATTACGGATAAACACATCAAAAGGTCGTTTTTTCTTGAATAATTTTAAAAAATAATTTATTTTTGAAAATTGTTTATTTAAAACGCTATAATATTAAGAACCGTCACCAAAAAAAAAACCCAACAATAAAAAAACTTGTGTGTAAAACCCTAGCATGCATTTCAAAGTACAAACCACAAGATAAGGGGTAAAAATTTTAAAAAATAATAAAAAAACAAATTTGAAGATCAAAATAACCTCTACTTCCCCCAAAATCGACGGTCGACGGCGCAGAAAAATTAACACTCTCCTGAGAGTAAGCAGGCTCCGGCCTCCTCCTCTCGGGGGTTCGCGGCTCATTGCAGTACTTTTTCACCATGTAACTGATGAACGCAGAGAGGCTTTTCTTAATCGCTGGGGCTTGAGAGATTCTCCCGAGGATCTCAAGAGCTTGATCCTCCCCGATCCTCGCCAGATCCCGTCGAGCGCCGTAATCTGCAGGCTCCGTCGATTTCTCAAGCTGGACCCTTTCGAGCATTCGCTCGACGGAATGAGGAAGAGAAAACATGATCGGATTGCTGGCGTTAGGGCTTTGTACTGTGATTTAGGTTAGCGTTAGGGTTAGGGTTAGAGCGACGAGCGCAGAGTTTGGATTGAGCGAAGGGAGAGGGATGAAGAGCGAGCAGTGAGGAAGGAGCAGGTTATTACGGGATTGCCGCTGCCTGATTTTAAAAAAAAATTATGCGTTGGTGAGAAAGAAGAAGAAAGACGTTGCGGGCATATTTAAAGGGGGGGATTTCGCAAAATTCCTATTGAGGTATTTTGCACAAAAGTCTCCTAAATTTTGAAACTGTACAAAGCTAGAAACTTCAGCGAGTTTTACAAAACGAAACCATCACGAAATTTTGACTTATAACTGCACAAGTAGCACCGGCAGTAAAACATTTGTCTGCGTTTATTTACCATTGCGTTTGTGTTGTTTTCGTTTTGTTTTTAAAAACAAAAAACAAAACGTGTTTGGTTACCATTCTGTTTTTCCGTCCAAAACACCAACAACCCCCAACTTTCAACGGGTTTCTCAAAACAAGAAAAAGGTGTTTAAGAGTCGTTGTTTTCATTTCCCCCAAAAAAATCTCCCCAAGCTCAGATCTGAGCGTCGCCCTCTCCCAAAGGCCAAATTCGCCGCCGCCCAAAGCCCAAATCGTTGTCGCCGATTCCGTGGTCGTGAGCGTCGCCGTCTTTCGCCGCCTTTGTGGTCGTCGTCGTCTGTCACCGCCTTCGTGGTCGTCGCCGTTGCCTCCAGATATCCAAGAGTAGTCACCGTCGTCCAGATCCCCTAATCCACGTCGTCGTCGCCGCCTTGCAGAGCCGTCGTCCAGATCATCTCCGTCGCCCAAGCTTCAGATTTGAACCTCACTGCCGTCGCCGTCGCTTCAAGATCTCGTCGTCGTCACGTCGTGGTCGTCGCCGTCGCCCAAGCCCCAGATCCGACTTCTGGAGTCGCCGTCGCTTCCAAATCTCGTCGCTGTCTCCCCTAATCCCGTCGCCGTCTCCCCTAATCTCGTCGTCGGTGATCTCAACGCACTGTAAGCATTTTTTGGTCTGATCTGATTAATTTTCCTTTTTTTGCTGAATATATGATTGTTTTAGAATTTATTCCCAGTGATCTCTTGTTCTGATTATCAACTATTGCAAATGCAAGCCTCCTAATCCACAACGGTGTTTTCAAAACACTTTGGGAGAAAAACCAAACACCAATGTGTTTTTCTAGAAAAACATTAAAGTTTACAAATCAGTAGCCAGCTTGCAGATTTACGATGTATCGAGTATGGCTATTTGTTAACTCCGTGAGTGGTATTTTTCCATAGTTTATTGGGATATTATGAATTTCACTGTTCAAGGAAGATTTGTGCAAAATTCTCAAAGTTCATAATCTCAAGTAAAACTTACTTGGATCTGAATCCTCTTTCACTAGGTGGTAATTAGAGAGTGTTCATCAATCTCTCGATTCTTATCATCTATATCAATTCAAATGGATTAGATCATGTCACATAAAATCATCACTGATGGTTTTCACTATAGTGGTTTTCAAGCTTACTAGTAGTTTTTAAAAATATAGTAGTTTTCAAAATAATAATGGAAACCTTAGATGTTGTGATCTCACCTACTGGAAGTAATATGGACGGTAATGATCGAAAGAACTGAGCACTCTCTCGATATCGCCTAATTAAAGATGATCCATATCCAATTTACTCATATTCAACGTGGTTATATGCACTTAGACACCCTAAATTTCACTTCAAACTTCAACGGCAAAATTACCAAATTTATATATTTTGTTGACCCTTAGTGATATATTGGTATATTTTCTTACATCGGCGATAATTTAATATATTATGGAGACTAGGCGACAAATTACCCTATATTTTGGCCAGAGCCAAAATTCAGGCCAAATTAAGTCACATGATCCTCATATGTGGCTACCAACATGGTGGTAATTGGGATCAATTAAATTGCTAAAAGAGGTTTTTTTCTAACATTATGGCTCAAATTGAGAATTTTTTTCTTCTTCCTCTTAGCATTAAATTGGCTAGGGCAACTAAAATTGGAGTTGGATTCTGTATCCTCAAGCTCTTGCTCAAGCTCAAGCTCAAGTATGAGCATGGAAGAAATAAACTAATGGCATGGCTCAATGGGATGAAAAGCCTTAATTTACATGAATCAACCACATTATATCCAAATCAAATTTTTGAACCAATTAAATAACACTATGCACAACGAGAATTTCTGTAAGATTTGAAAGATTCGTCCCCTCCCTCACATGAATAGAGAAAACGAAGAAAATTAGAGATTTTTTTGGGGGCGGGGGTGTTGGTTTTTTTTCCATTTCAGTTATCTAGCCATGTAAGCTCACCTAATCCACACTAGCTACATGTGAGGAGCCACGTAACTCAATTTGACCGAAATTTTGGCTCCGACCAAGATATAGGCTAATTTATCGTCATAGTCTACATAATATACCAAATTGTCGCTGAAGTAAGAATGTATACTAATGCGTCACTAAAGTTTAACAAAATATACAAATCTAGTAATTTTATCCAACTACAACTTTAACAAAGTTCTCTTTTATCAAAAAAACACCATAGAATCTCATCTTGTTTTTAACTCAACTAGCGTGCACTCCGTGCAAAGCACGACCATCTTTTTTTAAGCACTGTATTTTGAACTTGTTTCCCTCTAAGTTTTAATGCATTTGATTTAATTATTATATACTTAAAATTAGAAATCATATCTACCTGTCTATACCTAAAGAATAATCCAAGTTTTAATGCATTTGATTTAGAAATCATATCGGCTCCTCTACACTTAAAGATTTGATTTACTGTTCATAATACAGTTTGCTGTAGTATAAACAGTAACTCATAACACAACATTTGGTTTACTGTTCATAACACAGTAATTCTTTGGAATAGCAGATAAGAGATGAGCGCAAGTAGGAGACAAGAATGAAACAATTGGGCGATGGTGGACAGTTGGGCGACGGTGGACAAAGGACATTAATAAAACTTTAGTTAAAGTTTTAAATTTCAGGTATTTAAGTTAAACTTTACTTTTTAGGATATAATTTTAAATATCAAAGTTAAATTTTATTGAACATTAAAAAAAACAATCAAAACTAACTTTTAAGACATCAAAGTTAAAATAGAGATAAATTTGAAATACTTAAAGCGCAAATGGTGTCGTTTAAATTCCTTTTTCACACTTATAAATAATAAATAAATAAATAATCATTTTCGGAGCTGCAAAGCAAACCTTTTTTTAGGAGCGACCCCGTGGAAAGCTGAGTAGTCGGCATCAGTCTTATCGTTGTACTGTGCTTCGTTTCTTCTGTGAGAAGTAATTGAGAGAGAGAGAGAGAGAGGAGATAAAATGAAAGGAGCCCAAGCCCATCTCTGTTCGTACCATCATGGCCTTGAGCATTAGCTGACAGCCAAAGCCCACTAAGCTAAAGCGATAAAGGTTAAAGTTCGACGCGTATACTTTCTAAAACCTCAAACTCACTCCGGATCTTCCGTTAGCTTTTAAATTACAAGCTGATACCTTAGGGTAATGATGTTATTACACGCATGATCTTAGAGTTTATGTTTCTACATATATAACCATGGGATTACTAATTGTAACTATACTGACGACTTTAAATCATAGGAAAAAGCAATTCCCAGAATTACCCATAGAATTATGATATCAATATGCTTAGGGTTACCTACGTAGATACAATACCCCAAGGTCATCCAAAATCACTCTGCTCCTCTTAACTTGCTTTTCCTTTCTCCCAAAACCAATATATAGATTAGACACCAAGTGTTGCACCCAAATATATCAAAATTAAAGAATTGAAGAGATTACATTGGAAATTTATTAATTTTCTATTGGTTAATGGTTGTGGTTACCTGGATGTGATGTGAACAAAGGGGATATGAGTTTTGCAATACTTGGAGCAACTTCATTGAGTGGTTAATGGTTGTGGTTGCTTGGATTTGATGTGAAGATAGGGAAGATGAGTTTTGCAATACTTTGAGCAACTTCATTGAGGAGTATTTTAGAGAAAAATATAAAAATTAAATAGGTTTTAATATTTTTTTAGGGAAAAATGTGTCAAGGCCCCAAAAACAGAAACTTCATGTGCTGCGGCCCTTTCACTTTTTTTCCCATGTGGTTCAGCCTCTTAAAATATGATATTTTGTGCAGCAACCCCCTTTTAGCAATTATTACATATCAACTAAGCTAAAATCTTCAAAATGTCCTTATCTCCTCAATCCCTCAAACCCCAGCGTTTTCTCTTTCACCAGC